TACCTCTCTTAAATGCCTGGGTTTAATGTACATCTTGGAAAACATTTAATTTGAAATTCAATAAGACTTTTACGGTGATCCAGAACAAAGGATCAGAGCTACTCTTTATGAAACTATAACTATTTGGTTTTAATCAGTTACCAATGTCATCCGAGTCTGAAAGTTATAGCTTTTCTCATTTGCAGTAAAAGTTGCATTGTTGTACACTGGTGGTCTCTTTTTTCCTCTTTCTTCAAATTTTTGCTAGTGAAATTTTGTTCAGGTTATCCTAATGTTACAAAAATTGGCATCCGAATTTTCTAGGTCATGACACACATATTCGATCTTCATGTTTAACTTGTAAAAACCCTCGTTACACCAGAAAATTGATGCTTATGTGAGGTGGGGTGAAAAAGAAAAAGAGCCCACTGGTCGATACAATTAAGCGCAAAATAAGGATATTTCCCTATAAAATATCTGTTTTAAAGGATGATTTTATCCAACCTTCACTGAGATCTTAAATAGACCAATATCAAATGATCGTAGCTACCTTGAATGGAACGAACAAACTTTGCACCAAGTTTCCACATCTGCACCAAGTGTTGCATCGAAATGAACTCTTTCTTGGATAAGCGGAGAATAAAAGTTGTTCATGCAACTAGACACAATTTGAGCTATAACTTTACTAAACTCAGCTGTTTCCTACAGTTTCACGCGTTTACAAAAACTCAGTGCGGATGGTGATAAGTGGCATTTTAGATTCAGAAAACACTGGCAAGTCTTTGAAACCAAACTTCTTTAGTTTCACAAAAAGTAGCTCTGATAATTTGTTTTTAGTCTTAGTAAAAATGTTGCTGAATTTTGAAGGAAATGTGGTCCAAAGTGGTTATTAAAAACACATTAGAGAGAGAAAAAAAGACTTAATTTTGTCCACTAGTGTAAACACTAGTGTTAATTTTGTCCACTAGTGTAAACACTAGTGTTAATTTTGTCCACTAGTATAAATTCTAGTGTGGAAAAAAAATTGTTTGTGCGACGTGAAAATTTCTCAACAAAATATGAAATAATCAGTGTGAAATGGTTCCTAAACTCGGTTGTTTATTACTTTTTCACGCGAAGTGAAAATATTAGTGCAAATCAAGAAAATTGTCATTTTCAGACCCGGGAAACATTGGTAAGTCATTAAAACCAAATATTTGTAGTTTCATAAAGGGTTGCTCTGATCATTTGCTCTTGGTCAATGTAAAAGCATTGATGAAAATCGAATGAAGGTTGTTAAAAAAGGCATTTCAGAGAGTAGAAGCCAGAATTTGCGCTTAATTTGTTCTAAAAGTTCTGTAAACGTTTTGCCAGTGAATTAATATTTTTGATAGTTCCTTTTCGAAGAAAATGTTAGTGGAATATCTAAACGAAGAAATGTTTTAAAGTGTCCTTTCTTGTTTTCATCCACTTGAAAAAGTATATTTCAAGTGGTCTGGCGGGACCAAACTTCTAAGCGAGCTTTTGAATGGGACCAGAGGCGGATTTAGGGGTATTCGACCCCCTAATGTATTCGACGCTAACCCCCCCACCCCCCCCCCCCCCACTCAGGTATTGGACCCCCTGCCGACCCAAAGGGTCCATCTTTGTACTATTTTCAGATATTCATCTTTGGTGAAGGACCCTAAAATTTTTCTAAAGGCGCCGATTTTACGGTCAACATTTTCCAAAAAGTGCCTAAAAACGAGTGACCGTACTTCTAAACCAGTATCCTGTTTTTATCAAAAGGGCATCGAAAGGCAACAAAATCTTAACATATTTATTTACCAGGTTAAGACATTGTACCTTGGCTCTTGCGCGGAGTAGGCAGCTTGGGCAAGTCTTCGGGGATGACCTCGTGTTTGGTGGAGTCAGGGTTGCTGTTCATTTTAGACAGAAGAGAAGCAGACGACTTGGATCTCATTATGGACACGGATGTACTCATTGATATGACAGAATTATGTACCACGAGTTATAACAGCCTGAATGATCAGCTCAAATAGGAATTACACAGTTTTTTGTGCGTTCGTCAAACGTCCAAGAATCGGATATGTTTAACACACGTGCCCTTTTATGAAATGAAATTGTTTTCTAAAATTCAGATAAACATGATTTCACATCAAATTTGCCTTTTTTCCCTTAAGCAGCTAACAACAGCAGACTTTATGTGTGAACCAATAACTTCATATTTCTGCCTCGTTTCGGTTCTGAGGCAGATCGTTTTCGGGTATCTGGTTGATTGACTACATTTCATTTCATACGTAAGATAACCGTAATTATCGGAAATTACAAGTCAACAAAGAATATCGAACTGACATAAATTTCGGTATTTAAGAGCAGAATTCAATGTCATAAACTACGCAAAATGAAAACATTAAAAAGTCAACTTTAAAAACAGCGCCTGAACAATTTGTGAACTCTGTTCTTCGTTCACCAGAAAACTCATTAGTTACGACCTTGGTTTTTTCTCGCTAAGAATTCTAGCGAGAACATCCTCGCCCCCCCCCCCCCCCCCAACAGAGCGAGAAGAGGTGAGAGCTCCAAGATCAGCCGGGTCAGCTCTCACATACAGGAACTGCTCCTGTCCGGGTCGGCTGACCATATTTCTGCCTCATTTCGGTTCTGAGGCAGATCGGTTTCGGGTAGCTGGTTGATTGACAACATTTCATTTCATACGTAAATTAACCGTATTTATCGGAAATTACAAGTCAACAAAGAATATCGAACTGACATAAACTTCGGTTTTTAAAAGCAGAATTCAATGTCATAAACTACGCAAAATGAAAACATTAAAAAGTCAACTTTAAAAACAGCGCCTGAACAATTTGTGAACTTTGTTTCAATTTTTCAGTTTTCGTCTTTTTTCACACTGTTCTTCGTTCACCAGAAAACTCATTAGTTACGACCTTGGTTTTTTCTCTTTAAGAATTGTAGCGAGAACAAAATATTCTAGCCGTTTTTATAACTCGAATAAAAACAGGAAACAGAATCGGTTTAATTCAAGAGAATCAATAGAGGCGAATTTTAGTAATTTATATTGCACGGAATTAGCAACCACATTACACGTATCAAGTTAAAAATTGGGCTTGTTCATGCGCTGATTTGTGTGATTTTTGTGTTTTTTCACAATGAATTCATACCTAGTTCACGCAGTTTAGTTAACAGAAATTCAATTGCAAACCAATTTGGAACCAATTAAAATATTAGCATTTTATGTTCTGTCAGGTTCGGCTCAAATAGGCTTCTCAAATGAAACGACTTAGCTGAGAATTGAACTCACGCCGAACTCCCCGGAACGCACTATGTATACACTGAGCTATATAGCTGGTATTGCTAAGCAACTATTCTGGCTTTATACTATACTTTCATACTTTCAACTTTATTGCTATGTAGCATTAACACTTCAAAAACGTGTTTGGAATAGGGAAATTACCGTTTGACAAACTTTAGACGTTTATAGTAATCTAAACTTAACTTGGTAAAAACCATGTGGCTCTGGCTCTTTTTCCTTCCCCCCACCTTACTCAAACATTAACTTTATGGTCTAACGAGTGTTTTACAAGGTTAACTATGAAAACCAAATATGTTTGCCATGGCCTAGTTAGTCTGCATGTCAATTTTCATGACAATCGGGCAATAAAAACAGAAACTTCAAATTTAAAAATTTGCAGGTGGGAGGGAAAAGGAAAAAGAGCCGTGGCTCTTTTCCTCCCCCCACCTGTGATTTTTTATAAGTAATTTTTTGTTCCTTTGTCAGATCGTTCGGGAGGAGCATGTCACTTAATTCTTTTATTGAGTGTAGGGACGTACTCACTTGACCATCGCTGCCAAATTGCGTTTGCGTACGACTGCGCACGGGCATAGCGTTTAGAGTGAGAATAGTTTTCGCTCGACCTTACAGACGGAAACGTTAGACTGTGCTGACCTAAAAGGAAATGAATCGGCGTCAAAGCCTCAAGACTATCTGGGTCGTCGGAAACGGGAGTGAGTGGACGGGCGTTTAGTGAACCTTCAAATAGGCACATGGTTGTGTTCAAAGTCTGGTCAGTCAACTTTCTTGACTCTAAGTTTGCACAAAACACGCGCTTACAACTGCGCACCATTCGCTCCCATGCTCCACCTTGATGTGGTGCACTTGGCGGATTATACTGCCACTTAATGCCTTTGTGTACGAGCGACAGTGGAGCTTCTGCGTTCCAATTTTTGATGCACAGAAGAAGCTCTTTTTTGGCTCCTACAAAGTTTTAGTTGTCCGACCAAATTACTGAGGGAGTTCCTCTCCTAGAAATAAAGAGCTCGATAGCCATCAAACGTGAACTTATTACCATGGATGGAACCAGCTCAATGTTCTGTCAGGTTTGGCTCAAATAGGATTCTCAAATGAAACGACTTAGGTGAGAACTCCCCGGAACGCACTATGTATACGCTGAGCTATATAGCTGGTATTGCTAAGCAACTATACTGGCTTTATACTATACTTTCATACTTTCAACTTTAATGCTATGTACCATTATTATCCTCCACCCCCGAAGGAGCGAGAATCGGAACGAGCTTAACGAGCGGCCGAGTGTAGTTTCCGGAAACGGTCCATAGGTTTGCGGAGCGGGCGTTGTTGCCTTTGCCGTAGTTTATGGATGGAGCCAAATCAATATGAATTCCGCCAGTCGTTAAGCAAGTAAATAGAAAACCCCAGCGTTTCTCGGAAGATCGACGAATGGTTACATGAAATGGTCCAAAATAATGGACGCTGCAGTTCGAGAACGGTGGCTGGCGGTAAACTAGACGCTCCGCGGGAAGGTCAGACATCATTGGAGTAACTGTTTTTGCTTTTTGCTTTCTACAGCACACCCAGTGTGTTTCAATAGCTCTTAGTGCAGATCTTAAGCGTAGTACAACAAATTGCTGATGAATGACGGAACAAAGGTAGTCGACGGACTGATGTTCGTGCTTAATGTGATAAAAACGGAGAAACAATCGGATTCGGCGATGGCGGCTATCCATAATTATTGGATGGCGAGTTTTGAACGCGGTTGCGGAGAGACGTTGGATACGGCGGTAGATCTAATTAAATCGTTCGGCCCGATAAAAGGCGAATACGATGATATTTTCCTATATTTTCCAGCTGCTAATTGTTTACTTTCAGCTGGAACTGACTCTAACTGCAAAAGTTGCAAAATTTTTTCCTCTGAAATGACAAGTTCTGCTGGATCAATTATGGCCTTATCTGGCGATCTGAAATGTATATGCTTAGGTGAGAGTCTCAACATATATGCGACCTGTCGCTTTATCTGGGAGAAAGAGCTGTACTCGTCCCAAAAGAAGGCAAAGTCAGTCGAAACTGCAGTGCACGAAAGATTTGAAGAGACCTCTAAGCCCTCATTCAGATCGCAGACCGGACCATCCAGTCGAACTTTCTCAGTAACTTCCCCATTTAGATTGAAAGGCCAATCCAAAGTTTTCAAAAAGGAAGGGCCGTTTACCCAACTGCTTTGCTTGAGGGAATCAGCAGTAGTACCTCTAGTTCCGGTATCAGCGGGGTTGTCTCCACTCAAAACATGGAACCATTGGTCAATTGATGTTGACTTCAGAATCTCGGCTACTCGATTGGCTACAAACGCGGGCTGTTTGCTTGTCGAGTTCAACCACTGAAGGACTGTTGTGCTGTCAGTCCAAATGAACACTTTGGAAATACTCAGTGTCAGAGCTTTCTCGATATCATTCTTCAGGCGACTAGCAAGAAGCGCAGCCCGAAGTTCCAACTTCGGAATTGAAAGGATCTTCATCGTGGCTACTCTTGCTTTACCGAAGACAAACGCTCTTTGTCATTTGGAATCGGCGTTTTTCTGAGCTCGAAAGAATGCTACAGAACAGAAAACGTCCAATGAGCTGTCACTAAACATGTGCAGCTCAACCTCATCTACTGTGAAGTAAAAATAGCAACCAGGTATTTTGAGCTGCCCTAAAACTGGCAAGCCAGAGTGCCATTCAGTGAATCTGCGGCACAACTCATTTGGCAGTGGGTCGTCCCACTGTTGGCCACTCAATCTCCAGATATCTTTCAGTAGCAAACATGCGCGTACGGTATACGGGGCGACAAGACCTATGGGGTCGAACACGGAGGACACAAAACTAAGAACCGATCGCTGCGTAACAGAGTCTTTGAGTTCGCGGTTGACTCCTCTGCTCACAACCAAAGTATCGGTGACGTGGTCCCATTTGAGACCGAAAACATTCGATGCTGTTTCCGGATTAATCGCATCGGTAATAATTTCCTTACTATTGTTAGCGCTGGTCTTAGGGAAATTTAGTTTCAAAGACAAACTCGGAACGTTGCTAATTAATTTTGTAAGAATAAACCCAACCAACTTAAGCAGTTCAACTAAACTGCGACTTACCATTAAATCAGTTTCTGGATTTTTCACAGACACAAGGTTGTCATCCATGTAAAAGTTGTTTAGCACGGCGTAAGCGGCATCGGGGTAACGATCTTGATTGTCGACGGCTGTTCGGCGAAGAGCATAGTTAGCACATGTCGGAGAATCTTTCGCTCCAAATATATGCCTTGTATATTGAAATACACTCACATCTGATGTGGGGTCCTCTCGCCACAAAAAATGCAAGGAACGTTGATCGTTTTCTAGTAAGCCGACCTTCATAAGCATCTTCGATATCGTCCTCTCGCCACAAAAAATGCAAGGAACGTTGATCGCTTTCTAGTAAGCCGAACTGCCTTCGATATCTGCGGAAATTGCGTATTTGTGCTCTCGGAAGAGCCTTAAAACGATTAAAGGTTCTGAAGCAGATCGAGGCCGACGAGAAGGGAGTTACTCAGTGATTTGCCGTAAAACTCAGAAGCACCGTTTAAAACGCGCCGAACCTTGCCGGGTTTGTTCGGATTTATAACTGGGTGGTGCGGTACCTACCATTTTCGGTCTGAACGGTGTTTTGAGTCGTGAGGGCTAACCGGGACTACGTAACCCTTCTCGACATCATTTCGGATATCTGATGCGTATTGAGTTTTTAGGTTTAAATCTTTCTCTAGACGCTTTTCAAGAGACTTAAACTGGACCAATGAAGAGTAAAATTTATCGGAAAGATGCCTGTTGTCATCAGCCCAGAGCATTCCGATAACATAACGGCTGCCATCATGAAGCGTGGTAGAGTCAAGAATTTCTTGAGCACGTTTATCAGCTGAGGAACGGGGATCAGCTTGTTTAAACGTGCCATACGATTCTAGCTCGTACCTTTTCTTCTTTTGGTCAGCAAGTGCTACGTCTTCAATATTTCACTTGAAAGTGGTGGCTCGAACACCAATTGGTGATAGAAGTAGGCCACTGAGAACCCAGCCAATGGGCATACGGACAGCGACAGGAGTATTTTGATTTCGTCTTTGGAAGTATTCGAGAAGCTTGATTGCATGAAAGACATCCTGCACTAATATCATCTCAACGTCGGAATAGTTGTATACAATAGGTTGAATTGGCTGCAGATGAGGAAACCTGTCTTGGAGAATGGGAACGTCAATGGTTTTGGAACCAACGCTCAAACTGTCTTTCACAAACGGCGTAACCCTTAACGAGTGTTCATGGTGGTCGAAATTGGCAAAAACATTCACTTCGACTTGTTGCGTGGGAATTGAAGCTGTTTACCAGAATATCTAGCTTTTGGCCAGTTAAATTTAAACGCTGTGCTAGGCCTGTCGAGACTCATGAGTGGGTACAACAGGAATAGCACATTACAAAAGCAGTGGTCACGTCTGTGTGTGAACTTATTTCCAATCGAAGCACAGGAAGGAGTCCCGTTAGTTTCTTGTAAGACGGCTACATTCGATGACGCAGTTTGCGGTTTATTCCGGTTCGGCGGGGCGGTATTGTTTGAATTTGATTGGCTTGTGTTGTTGCTAATGATTGAATCTTTGTTTGCAGGCCTTACGCTGAAAATTTTCTCAGCACCATGCAACAAGGCATTATGGGTGCTTTCACAACCAGGTTTAGTGCATTTGCGGGCTTTAGGGCATTTTCGGAACATGTGGTCAGGTTGCAAACAAGCAAAACACAACCTATTTTGTGCGGAGAATTGAGCTCGTTGAGTAGGGGTCTTTTCCTTAAGTACAGAACAACTCCCGAGTAGGTGTTTACCCTTGCACTGGAGGCACGGAGCATAAAATGGTTTTTCAACTTTTGAAGCAGCGGCAAAAACTTTTATAGGTGGTTTATGGAAACTAGTCTTTAGAGTCTCCTCAGGTCGTGACTTACTCTCACTCACACGCATAAATTCATGTGCCTCAGCCTTGTCGCGGAGCCAATCATTAAAATCTAAAACGTTTGACTGTCTCCAACATTTCTTTACAGAGTGGAGAGACCACGAATCTTTCATATTTGGAGGCAATATTGAAATAACTTGATTCAAAACGGATGTACTCTTCAAGTCGTACTCATACCCTAACGATTTTAAAACAGCGACAAGACTGGATATACAGGAAGCAAAATTGATAATGCTTTCTGAATTGTGCATTTTGAGAGGGGGGAAATTCGAAAATTTTCAAGATGAGCCGCCACAATCGTCTGTGGTTGTCCAAATTTCCTCTCCAGAGTTTTCAAAGCGTCCTTGTAGAACATTCCACTGTAAGCGAATTCGGCAATTGCATTCTTCGCTTTGCCTGAAACGAGGGTTTCGAGATATGTCAGTTTGCATCGATTGCGCTTTTGAACTGACCAAACCATTCAGGCCACTGCAATGGATTTCCGTCGAAAGAAGACAGTTTTCACTCAGGCAAGGGACCTTTCTGGCTCAGTGCCAAGATTTCAGCTAGATCTTTATTAGTGATTGATTTACTGCCCGAGGACGTAATTGGGCCAGATTGTTTGTTCTCTTTTGTATAAGGCGCCATCAGCTGTTTCGAATTGATAGCAGCGTCTACAGCATTAGGATTACTGACATAAAAAGTTGTTCCTCCGCTAGAGAACGGGTGCACAATCAATGTTTGTGTGACATAATTTGAGTTAGGGGCAAAAGTGACTGTTGAAGGATTGAGAGGACCAATGTTAGTGGGTAAAAGCGGTTGGTACACAAAATTCGCAGAATTATTTGGGAAAAAGGTTTGTTGAGCAATGGGCATTGAGCTAGTCCGGATATTAGAATGATGAAAACTACTCTGCATCAATAGGTTTCAGTTGTATATGTATTCAAAGGTAGCTGTTCCTGTGGCTCATACGTACTTTTTATATTTGGATTTGGTAAGCTGACACTTGTATTTGATGTATGAGGGACGTTAACTCTCTGTGAGTTTATACACTTGGTTTCGAAATAATTTGCACTTGGTTGAGAGTTGTGAATCATCGTAAGATTTCTACTGAAAGGCGGTTCAATACCTGAAAATGACAAGAACTTGGAAGCAGGTTCCAGGTTGACACTTTGGACTGGCGCCACGGGCTGAACTACTTCCTGAGCTGCGAATTGAGTGTTCACCCAACTTCTTGTCCGGTCTTCCTCCGTTTGGTTCTCCTGAACGGCCCTCGCCAATTTTGACCTGCTACGACAAAGTCCACAGATTTGAGAGGTTTTTTCCAGATATTCAGCCTCTTCGATAGTTGCTTCAGCTAGCTTTTGACGGCTTTCCTCTACAACCACATCAAGTTCAAGTTGACCCTTCATCGACTGAATTTGGATCTCTTACTTTTTCAAACGAAGCTTAGCCTCTGCCTGGCGTTCAACTTCCTCGCATCTAATTTTTGCAAGGGCTGCCTCTCTTCGACGCTCACTCGAAGTCATTGATGCAATCTTAGAACGCTGTGAAAGGGGTTTCTTGGAACGGACGGATTCGCTTGGCGTTGGGGTTTGTGCAATTTCTACCTGGTCCTCTCGAGGTTTAATTTAAAGTAATTTTTAGCTAGACCTAATACATCGTCATTTTTTCAGTGATAGATCCTAGGTAAAACTCAAGTTGATATATTGTTTCAGCAGCGTTGTTGCTGTGCATAGACAAAGATTTAAGCTCATCATTTTTTCTATAATTTTTTGTAAGCAAATGCTAGATTTTTCGATGTACGTCTCAATTTTAGCTGGTCCATCATTCGCACCCACATATTCCGTAATTTTGGCATGGTAATCGAAAAGATTTGTTTCCAATTCTTTGCTGGCAAGATAAATTTTGTTTAGCTTCTGGCCGAGATCAAGCTCCATTTTGAAATATTTGTTTTTTGTTCTTAAACAAGAGCAAAGAAAAATTAGTGTCGGTTGACGGAATCAAACTAAAATCAATTTAAGTAGCCGCGTCCTATACCGAACGAGAGGATCCTTGCAAGACTTCTACGAGTCTCGTTGCCTAAAGAACAGAAGGACAACAAACTACAAGATTGAACTTAAAGATGAATTTAACTAATGAAAAAAAAATGCAAGATTTATAATGCCTAACAAATGTTAAATATTCTTGGACTGTTGTCATTTGTGAAATCTCATGCTTATCTGCTTTTCTTTTCCTTGAAGTTGGTCGACGACTTTTAATTTTATTGATAAGTTCAGACAGATTGTGGAAACAATGTCGAATGATTCTCAAACTTTTTATTTCTAAAAACGCCGGAGGATGAATTAAATCTCTGTTGCTAGCTTTTCTTTTTGAGATGAAATATTTGGTCATATCAATGGTTAATATTCCTGTTTCAATCAAACGTTCATAAATATTGGGGGTATTTTGACGGTGTACGTAAATAATTGCTGATATTTTGTTTTTATGTTCTTTTAAAACTTCAATTAGACTTTCTGGTGTAAGTGGGTTATCGCTGTT